ATTTGTACCATATATTACGGAATTCACACACACTTTAGATGTAATTTGTACCATATGTTACGGAATTCACACACACTATATATGTAATTTGTACCATATGTTACGGAATTCACACACACTTTAGATGTAATTTGTACCATATGTTACGGAATTCACACACACTATAGATGTAATTTGTACCATATGTTACGGAATTCACACACACTTTAGATGTAATTTGTACCATATGTTACGGAATTCATACACACTATAGATGTAATTTGTACCATATGTTACGAAATTCACACACACTATAGATGTAATTTCTGCCATGTTACGGAATTCACACACTATAGATGTAATGTGTACCATATGTTACGGAATTCACACACACTATAGATGTAATTTGTACCATATGTTACGGAATTCACACACTATAGATGTAATTTGTACCATATGTTACGGAATTCATACACACTCTAGATGTAATTTGTACCATATGTTACGGAATTCACACACACTTTAGATGTAATTTGTACCATGTTACGGAATTAACACACTATAGATGTAATTTGTACCATATGTTACGGAATTCTCACACACTATAGATGTAATTTGTACCATATGTTACGGAATTCACACACTATAGATGTAATTTGTACCATATGTTACGGAATTCACACACACTATAGATGTAATTTGTACCATATGTTACGGAATTGACACACACTATAGATGTAATTTGTACCATATGTTACGGAATTCACACACTATAGATGTAATTTGTACCATATGTTACGGAATTCACTCACATTATAGATGTAATTTGTACCATATGTTACGGAATTCACACACACTATAGATGTAATTTGTACCATGTTACGGAATTCATACACACTATAGATGTAATTTGTACCATATGTTACTGAATTCAAACACACTATAGATGTAATTTGTACCATATGTTATGGAATTCACACACACTATAGATGTAATTTGTACCATATGTTACGGAATTCAAACATGCTATAGATGTAATTTGTACCATATGTTACGGAATTCATACACACTATAGATGTAATTTGTACCATATGTTACGGAATTCACACACACTATAGATGTAATTTGTGCCATGTTACGGAATTCACACACTATAGATGTAATGTGTACCATATGTTACGGAATTCACACACACTATAGATGTAATTTGTACCATATGTTACGGAATTCACACACTATAGATGTAATTTGTACCATATGTTACGGAATTCATACACACTCTAGATGTAATTTGTACCATATGTTACGGAATTCACACACACTATAGATGTAATTTGTACCATGTTACGGAATTAACACATTATAGATGTAATTTGTACCATATGTTACGGAATTCACACACACTTTAGATGTAATGTGTACCATATGTTACGGAATTCACACACACTTTAGATGTAATTTGTACCATATGTTTCGGAATTCACACACACTATAGATGTAATTTGTACCATATGTTACGGAATTTAGATGTAATTCGTACCATATGTTACGGAATTCATACACACTATAGATGTAATTTGTACCATATGTTACGGAATTCACACACACTATAGATGTAATTTGTGCCATGTTACGGAATTCACACACTATAGATGTAATTTGTACCATATGTTACGGAATTCACACACACTATAGATGTAATTTGTACCATATGTTACGGAATTCACACACTCTAGATGTAATTTGTACCATATGTTACGGAATTCACACACACTCTAGATGTAATTTGTACCATATGTTACGGAATTCACACACACTTTAGATGTAATTTGTACCATATGTTACGGAATTCACACACTCTAGATGTAATTTGTACCATATGTTACGGAATTCACACACACTCTAGATGTAATTTGTACCATATGTTACGGAATTCACACACACTATAGATGTAATTTGTACCATATGTCACGGAATTCACACACTATAGATTTAATTTGTACCATATGTTACGGAATTCACTCACACTATAGATGTAATTTGTACCATATGTTACGGAATTCACACACACTATAGAAGTAATTTGTACCATGTTACGGAATTCATACACACTATAGATGTAATTTGTACCATATGTTACGGAATTCACACACACTTTAGATGTAATTTGTACCATATGTTACGGAATTCACACACACTTTAGATGTAATTTGTACCGTATGTTACGGAATTCACACACACTATAGATGTAATTTGTACCATATTTTACGGAATTCACACGCACTTTAGATGTAATTTGTACCATATGTTACGGAATTCACACACACTATAGATGTAATTTGTACCATATGTTACGGAATTCACACACACTTTAGATGTAATTTGAACCATATGTTACGGAATTCACACACACTATAGATGTAATTTGTACCATATGTTACGGAATTCACACACACTTTAGATGTAATTTATACCATATGTTACGGAATTCACACACACTCTAGATGTAATTTGTACCATATGTTACGGAATTCACACACACTATAGATGTAATTTGTACCATATGTTACGGAATTCACACACACTTTAGATGTAATTTATACCATATGTTACGGAATTCACACACACTCTAGATGTAATTTGTACCATATGTTACGGAATTCACACACACTTTAGATGTAATTTGTACTATATGTTACGGAATTCACACATGCTATAGATGTAATTTGTACCATATGTTACGGAATTCCCACACACTATAGATGTAATTTGTACCATATGTTACGGAATTCCCACATACTATAGATGTAATTTGTACATGTTACGGAAATCACACACACTATAGATGTAATTTTTACCATATGTTACGGAATTCACACATGCTATAGATGTAATTTGTACCATATGTTACGGAAATCACACACACTATAGATGTAATTTGTACCATATGTTACGGAATTCACACACACTATAGATGTAATTTGTACCATATGTTACGGAATTCCAACACACTATAGATGTAAATTGTACATGTTACGGAAATCACACACTATAGATGTAATTTGTACCATATGTTACGGAATTCACACATGCTATAGATGTAATTTGTACCATATGTTACGGAAATCACACACACTATAGATGTTATTTGTACCATATGTTACGGAATTCACACACACTATAGATGTAATTTGTACCATATGTTACGGAATTCACACATGCTATAGATGTAATTTGTACCATATGTTACGGAAATCACACACACTTTAGATGTAATTTGTACCATATGTTACGGAAATCAAACACACTATAGATGTAATTTGTACCATATGTTACGAAATTCACACACACTATAGATGTAATTTGTACCATATGTTACGGAATTCCCACACACTATAGATGTAATTTGTACATGTTACGGAAATCACACACACTATAGATGTAATTTGTACCATATGTTACGGAATTCACACATGCTATAGATGTAATTTGTACCATATGTTACGGAAATCACACACACTATAGATGTAATTTGTACCATATGTTACGGAATTCACACACACTATAGATGTAATTTGTACATGTTACGGAATTCACATACACTATAGATGTAATTTGTACCATATATTACAGAATTCACACATTAAAAAAACCAGCAAGACAATATTCCAGTCACTGTTGAGTGGAAGGTAAATATTTAAAAAATACACATTTTCACAGGTTTGAAACCTTTTCCTACTTTTGCCATATAATAGGCCAAATAATAACTCTTTAGTCCAATTCTAGCTTGAAACTTTTATTTATTTTGAGATATTGCGAGCCAGGAATGGTGTCCTATACGGACTCATATTCTTGTTTGTTTATCTTTTTTCTGTTATGACACTGTTAAGATTGTGCTGTAGTCTGTTATGTACCTTCCATTGTGAGACATCTTTTTCGAGATTAAAGGGGGCTTTAGATCTTAAACATCCAGTTGAATCTGGCAACATGTCCAAGGTCTTCCGAAGTCACAATCCCAATCATTTTTCCTCTTTTGTTGTATATTAATATTTTATTGTCACATGCGGAATTTGGTGGTGATGACAGATCTTAATAGTCTGTCTTTAATTTATTCAATAATTTTGTAGACAAGGAGTGGGATGGGGTTAGAGCTAGGCATATTGCAAAATAAAAGAAGAATGTGTCTAAGGACACTAATGCCCCCACTCAAGCTTTGCAACACTTTATGCCACCGTCCCCTACCGCGGGGGCATGATAGTAGAAGAATATGTTTGAGGACACAAATGCCCCGGCTCAAGCTTTGAAATGAAAATGGGACGGACGGAAAGACGGAAGGTCAAGGGTAACACTTAATGCAACCCCCTGTCACCTAAGCAGGAGCATTAAAACATGTGGCTCTTGTTTAAAGATTATATGTTGACTACTTGATATATTTCTGTTTCCTTTGGATGCTGTATACTCTGTATTTTCTTATTTTATGTGTATACTGTAGAAAGACATAATTTGAATCTGTCCAGCCTTCTGGAGCACCTTAGATCACCCCCGGATTTTGGTGGGGTTCATGTTGCTCAGTCTTTAGTTTTCTATGTTGTGTTTTGATCGTTTTTCATTTTTGCCATGGCATTGTCAGTTTGTTTTAGAATTATGAGTTTGAATATCCCTTTGGTATCTTTCACTCTCTTTTAAGAATAAATTATGGCAAGTGATAAGTTTGATAAAAACTTTTAATAATTAATGTGAAAAGGCAGGTAGTTTCTATACCAGCTCATAGTGATTGCTTGTTGGTGTCTAACACCACTTTCAGCTCTGTTGGCTACATCATAGTGGCCAGTGTTTATTGGTCGAGGAAGCCAGAGCATCCAGAGAAAACACACCTGTCAAGGGCGGGTTCAAACACATAACCTCATAGTGGAAAGGCTTGTGATCACAGTAAATGAACTATTTAGAGTACTCAACCACATAAGCCCCCTAGCTCATAGTGACATATGTGGTTTCATTTTAAATATAAGAACAATAAATAATATCATTGTAGCATATTTTAATGTCAAAATTGACATATTGTAAAATTGGTTATCTATATTTACATTAAATTTGAAAGACTAAAATTACATATCACAAAATGCTCATATAAAACAATTTTAGGCGATTCAAATAAAAATCTGTTTCAAAGACCTTTTTAAGTTTTTTTGTTTGTTTAAGGGGTATATTTTAACTTTTTTGAAGAAAAATAATAAATTAATAGTTTTGCACTTGATAAGTCTAAATGTACCCAATTTTAATTTAATACCACATTTTACAGATGAAAGAAAAAAAAAATTGCTATTTTGCATATCTCTAAATACAGTGTAAAAATCAAATATGAAATTGACAGTACAATAAAAATAAAACTCTCAAAAAATAAAAAAAAAAAATAAATATGGGGGTATTTTCTGAGAAACAAATTATTTGAATACACCTTACTGATACAGCATGTACACAAACATTTCCAATTTCTTACGTTTGTAAGAACCTTGGCATCAATATTAACATATTCTGCATATTTTGAGAAAACCTGTTATGACAACAAATACATAAAATGGATAAGTAGAAACAGTTGGTGATTTCAGATGACAAAATTGTTTCACAGGTTATATAAATATATCAATATGGCAACAATTAATGATAACAAAAAAAACCCTAAACATAATAATTCAATTCCAACAACTTAATTTCAGTAAGGTTCTTTTTTAAGTACCTTGAACATCTTGAACTCCAAAACATCACAGGACATTAAACCTAATTGTTTAAAGATCATTTTATAATGAATAACTTTCCTGAAGGAAAATACTGTTGCCATGGTATTGAGATTTTTATACCAATAAAATACTTATGGATTATCATTCTTAACTGATCCCACGTTCACCTGCACCCTGATCTCTTACATTTTACAGTTTTTGCTGTTATATTGAAAATGTTCATTTGAACTTAGCAACAGTATTTTTCCTACCAATTTAAATTGTTAGATGAAAATATTTGAATATGTTCATTACAATCTTAGATATTTCATATTTTTTCTTTTTAAAACTTTTGATTGATTGATTGATTTTTGCTTTACATCTTATAAGGGCAAAAAGTTATATCATGGCAATAAAATGTTTTAGTGTTTTAAAGGTTTACATTATTTTTCAACCATTAACACAGATAAATGTATATGTAAGGAGAACTGTATTGACATGTAAATGCATGTAAATAAACATCTTTTGTGTGAGCATTTAACTATAATTTGCAGGTGTAAAATATCTTATAACAGCTACAATTGAACAAAAATATGTCTATGCTTAAATACCTGTAACAATCTTCAAAATAGATTATCAATTTAAATAATAACAAACATAATAATTTAATATCTGTAGCATTTTGACTAAAACTGCAATAAAATCACCTGGTAACACGCACTAGCAAAACATAATGGGGGCTTCAGTAGCTCCCCCCTCTAAGTTCACAAGGTCATGCTTAAAAATTGTCTCATGTCATCAGCACACTTTTAAGGTAGATTAACTGTATTCCGCCATCTTGGATTGTAAAATAGCAGTTCACGATAGGTCTAGTTCTTTGCTTAAATCTGTAAGTTTTGAGACAGATTTGCAATTAATGGTTAGACTATTTATTGGAATAAAGAAAAATAAATGATCTATTGCATTATTCAGACTGATTTATCAAATACCAAATATTTGTGTTTGTTCTAATCAAATTGTCTACTTAGCCATTTTAGGGGAGATAACTCAAGTAGATTTTCAAAATTCTATCTCCTAAATTTCTTTTTATTCACAAAATTTTTTTTTTTTTCATGAACAATCTATGCAAATAGATGCATGTGCAAAAGATTAGACTTTTTCAGGTGCTTGAAGTTTATGAAAGTAATTATTCCACTTTTTTCTATCTATAATTATAATTAAAAAAAATATGTATCTGAGTGCACCACCAATACTGTGCTGTAGATAAAAATATCATTTGCTGATAAAATATGTGTAACATTCATAATTTAATCCGACACACAGGATTTTTCTGTTTTCAACAGTATCTGTGCGGGAAATGAGATTTTTCACTGAATCAAATGTTTGGAATGCTAAAAGCAAATTTACAAAATTTCCAATTCTTTCCACAGAAACTTTTTTTTTACCATCAATTATTGGAATGTTTCGGATGCTGAAAAAACAAAAGATTTCCATTTTTTTCAAAATGCAGTTTGATTTTATTCGATGAATTATCTTGGTTGGTGAAATTCAAAAGTTCCACTCTAAATGTCTTGGATGCTACTAAACAAAAGAAGTACAGGAATTCCAATTCTCTTCAATTTTCAACATTTCTTTGCAGACTATAACTCCGTTTTTAGTTATTTTATCAACTAAATGTTGCGGTTACTATCACAGTTATCAATGATCATATGACAAATATATTGCCAACTTAATCTGGAAAAGTCACTTTATTTGTAATCACATGTTCAGACAAATGACGATGACCTATATCCGTTGCCACCTCTTGATATGTTGTAGGAATACTGTCGTGATCTGGACATTGTAGTATTAGGTACTCGCACACTTCTTAAGTTGTCTGAAAAATAGTATTAAATCATATATTAAATAAATAGTAATTTTGTTTTGAACAATGAAAAATTGTACAGGCGAAACATGTAGACCATAGCAAATAGAATTGCAGACCATTTGAAGTGTTGTTGTCAATTTTGAGTATTATTTAAATGTTGCATTCATTTGCATAATTTGACAACCCTGCATACCAAGGTATCCACTTCAGGGACTCTATCAAAATGATTAACACAGGCGTTGGTTCACCAAACAGAGTTTAATGAAAAATTATGTTTCAAGAAGGTGCACATACATTGTCTGATTTTGTGTAATTCTTTTCTTAATTTTGAAGAGGACTTGATAAAAATTCTTTTCTTCTTTAGTGTGAGAATGCTTTCCCATTTGCAACTCTTTTCACAAAAAATCTTACGATTAAAATTGATTGTAAGTTATACTGAAATATTCATGACTTACAAGTAATTTTACACATTTGATTTTGTGTGAAAATAGCTGCTGATAAAGAAGTCTAAATAGAATCTACTTGTAAATATGTATCATAGAGCATAATTATTTCTCACTTTATCCAGCAAATCAACCGTACTTTTATACAGTATTGTAAATTCACAAATTATTGTGTGCATTAATATATGCAATTTTTGAAAAATGGACAAAAACAAGTAAAACTGTGTGCTACTGCTCACTGATGATACCCCTGCCGAAATATTTCAGTTAACAGGAAGTTGTTGAGTGATGAATCTGAAAACGCATCACACAGTATAGCTGACTTATATAAACCCTGCAACCAAATTTCAGAAATCCTTGTCAAGTATTTCAGGAGAAAAATGTGACGAAAATTTTCAACTTGGCTATCATGTGTAAAATAATACAAGTGTTTGGTAAACAGGAAGTTGTTGAGTGATGAATCTGATAATGCATCACACGGTGTAACTTACTTATATAAACCCTGAAACCAAATTTCAGAAATCCTTGTCAAGTAGTTCCTGAGAAAAATGAGACGAAAATATTCATTGGACGGACAGATAGACTGACGGACTGACGGATGGACAGACAGAGGTAAAACAGTATACCCCCCCCCCCCTTTTTTAAAGCGGGGGTATAATTACAGAAATTATCAATATCAATAAGTAATTATTGTGATTTCAGGAATATCTCCATACAGATATCAGAATATGAGTTCTTATTAAATAGCTGACACAATTTAGAAATATTTCATAGTACAAAAAAGGATTATAATTTTACTTGGATTTTCAATTTCCCATTTATCCTATTAAAATCCAAATACATGCCTGAAGTCCATTAAACTTAATATACAATGTTTGTGGTAAAACATAACTTTGAAGCAATTAATATGTCTACTAAAAATTATCCAGCTGAGCCCCACTTTACAAACTACTGACATCACTTGCATACCCTTATATCATGATAATTTTAATGAATGCTTATTAGATTTGGACAAAAAACAGTTTTATTTCTAGGATCTCAGCAAATTAATTAATATTGTTCAATTAAGTAGAAACTACTTACACCAGAGGCAGAAAATGCAAAAGACAGTCATGGTTTTGTTATAAGGATGAACCATAATGTTAATATCATGAGTTTATACCATGAAGATTTTCTGTGCTTTAACAGTCATGCTAATTTAACAATTATATATCATATCCCTACTTCTCCTTTGTATTCAGTAGAAACTTCATATTTTACGTGATAAGAATAAGGACACATCAGCAAAACATAAAATGATTTTTCTAAAAATTCATAGTTCCAGAGGTTTAAAACAATTCAAAATATTAACTAATGGTGTTCTAAAATTTGTTGATTGGTGTTTACTTCCAGCAGCAAATATTACATATACTGGACAATAACATTTAATGACATATTAACATACATGTATTTGTATTAGATAAAGAAGTAATATCAGTTTTTTTGGCATTTTTTTATGATTTATATTGATTGTTGTATTATTTCAATTAATATAAAAATAAGGAGATGAACTATCCACCAAAGTTCAAATGAAGAGGATGAAAGCAATTATAGGCAACCGTACTGCCTTCAACAATGACAAAAACCCATACCGTATAGTCGGCTATTATATAAATAGGAATACACCAATCATCAGCCCATGTTACATATTATGAATATAAATAGACATGTGCAAGGAATTAATAATGATATTGATATAATAAAATCAAGTTAACTATAGCAGTTTTTTTTTATTGTAAAACATTGATAACAAATCAAAGCCACATTGTTGCATATTTCTTTAAGTTAACATGAAAAGTTGATGGACTGATAAAAACACAATTTGTTGAATCAGTGAATGTTTAATTTTGCATAAAATTTGATGAAACTTTTTCATCTATCTATTGATAATTTCTGCCTGATCATAAAGGATATAATACAAAATGCTTCGAGGCAATAGTCTAACTATAAATAGATCTGTAAATGAAAGAGAACTAGAGGCTCCAAGTCTTCATGTTATTTGGATTAGGAATAAAAAATACCGCAAGGATCATATTATTCAGAACTAAAAACCTTTCATGTTTTTGGCTTAAATGTGTTATCAAACTGTACATGTGGACATGTAACAAAACAAAATGTGGTTAGTTTCAATCTACAGCAAATACAATGCTATTATTACAGCTGACCGTAAAAATATTATGAAGCAGCATCTCATATCACAAAACCTACTAATATTATATTAATGAGTCACATCACTGTTCAAACTTAATAAAAAAATAATCTTTTTTTACATTGTCTTAGTAAAGCAAACTTTAGTTAGGTAAAATTACAGGCAAAAACATAAACTTCCAAAAAAAAAATTAGATTACAACAATCATCATTTAATTTTTTTTAATCATAATTCAATCACCTAACTCTACTTTAAAACACTTCAAAAACAAAACTAGGTCACAGCAGCTTTCTTTTTATACCTCCTAGGTCTATGGTTGCTAAAGCTACTACATCGACTACTGCTTCTCCTGTAGCTTAGCGAACTGCTGCAACGACTTGTGCCACGACTATTTATAAATAGACTAGTGCTACTTTCCTCGTCAATAGATAATACTACAAAGTTCACAATCAGGTCAAATCAGCCTTTTCTATTTATAAGGAGAAACTACATGTCTTTTCAATAACTTCTTATTATAAATGCCTTTTAGTTTGAGTTACATCGGTTATTCAGGAACTTTAAAATACAAATATTAAGATTTGCATTAGGGATTAGATAAGTTTTAAGTTATTAAACACCAGAATAAATTTTAGGCGAATTTCAAAAATTAAATAAAGCAGAGAGAAACTTTAACTTATAATCAAAATTCCACCATATAATATATCAGTATATACCTGAAATTGATGTGAAAATATAAACTTATGCTAAGACTTTATGGAAAGATTTAGTTTTCATTTGTTTAAATGTTTAGTAGGACATCAATGTCTATCTACATCTGTAAGTTAAGAAATCAATTGTGTAAAATTTTACCTCCCCCCTCCCCCCAAAAAAAACTGACTAATATCAGAATCTTTATTTTGAATTTTGTCTTCCATAATTTCCTTTAAAGCCTTCAAACTTTTTGTAATTGAAGAAAAAAGTAAAAGATTGAAAAAATAACTTCATTTTGAGATCTTGTCATATATATTTTGAAGAAAGCAACTGCTTTTATAGGACTATAGCTATCAATCCTGAAAGATCATTTTACTACAAGATGTATTATACAAAAAAGTTCATGTGAGTATTAAAAAATCTTCTTGGGTAATGCTGTAAATTAGTCATTTCAGGCGAAATAAGTCCATTTCAATGTAATGACATAATTTGTATTCCTTTTAACTTATAATTTTCAACATAATATATGAAAAAAAAAATAGTACTTTTTGCAGTTTCATGCTCAATAATATCTTTTATGCCAACCGCAGCCTTTTCTGAGCTTCAGGTCTAGTCTCAAATTAGTGGTAAAAGTGCTGAATGGTGAAAATGGATTGTAAGCAGTTGTGTATGCAAACAGATAAGAAAAAAATGAGGGAAAAACAACAGACATTATACAGAATTATAGAACCAGTGCTCTATTATCTAAAGTGAGCTATAAAAGGGAGAGAACTATGGTACTTACTTGCTAAATCTTCATCTTCTAATGGATTCCAATCAAAGTTTTTAGGATATCCCTGAGGGTCAATAAACGGTGAAGGAAGAAATCCTTTCTTGGAGACAAGAGGATGGTAACGATCAACAGCAAAATTATATGACAAGGCTGAAAAGTACAAAATCTGTAACAGTGAAATCATTTAACATGGCAGTAAATCATAAAAATTCAGTTACAATAAAAGAATGAATGTGTTGTCATGCTAAGCATACCCCTTTCATAATTCAAAGTATAAAAAAAATAGGAAGGTGTCTATTAAACAGATCTGAATAAGGGCACACACATTAAAACTCATCACTATTGAACAGCTAACAAAATATGACATCATTCTGTTAAGTACTGTAAATTCAGAAATTACTGAGTGTATTCATTATTGCGATTTTGGCATTTTAGACTAAAATGCGATTTTAATCTTTGAGAAAAATCTTAATTCATATAAAAAATTTCAAAATGCAAGTTTAAATTATTGCGATTATAACCTTGTCGCATTTTTCGCAATAATAAAAACATCGCAATAATTTCTGAATTTACAGTAGTTCCTGAGAAAAGTGTGTAGAATTTTTTTACGTTCATTCAATGTATTGAACAATTCAAAGTATTGGCAAATGGAAAGTAGGTATGACAGCTCTGAAAAGTGCTCACACGTTACATATCATCACTGTCATGCTTCTGACCATATTTGACGTCATTCTGTTATGTAGTTTCTAAAAAAAGTGTACGAAAGTATTTGTAGGATCAACAAGACGGACAAGGTAATTGCAATATAAACCCCACTTTTAAAGTGGGGGTAAAATAAATATAATAATTATCTACCCATTATAAATTGAACTTTCAGACCAACCAAGATTTCATTTTACAAATTAATTTATCCATTTAACCAGTGGCAAGGATATAAATGTGTATTTTTTCAAATTGTACAATCAAAACAGCCATCTTAAAATGAAACAATCTTCCTTCCTATAACTTTACAATGACATGTAATTTATGCTTTTTCGTTGTATATTTAGAGTTTAAGATATTCAAAATAATTAACATCTTTCCTGAGCTTATTATTAATATGGCCATCTTCTCTGCACCTTTCATTATTCCACCACTGATTAGAGATTAAAAGGAGGAAGACCAACTATTCAAAGAACTTCTTTTACCCTTTTTATCTGTACCGATCATTTTCGACTTTTTTACAATCCAAGATGGCAAAAGACCCCCATACTACAGTCTTAGGTCAAAAGTGTTTCACCTATTGGAAATTTCCCTACAATTTCATATAAAAACACATTTTTAAAAACATTGTGAATAAACAGCTGCGCCATGAGCGCATGATACGCCCGTCGTCTTGTGTGTGAATTTTTATGCAATAAGCATAAATAGTTTCTGACATACCGCGTGACATGCGAAAACCCCCTTTTTTTTAAACAAAAAACTCAATATCTCTAAAATAAAATTTTGAATCAAAACCAAAAAGTATACAGATCTTTAGATTAATTTAACTAAGAAGTGTGTAAAATTTTAAGCAATAATCATAAATCGTTTTTGAGATACGGGGGGACATGTGAAAACCCCCCTTTTAAAAAAAAAAAAAATCAATATCTCAAAAATAAAATTTTGAATCAAAACCAAAAAGTTTACAGATCTTCAGATTAATATAACTAAGAAGTGTGTAAAATTTCAAGCAATAATCATAAATCGTTTTTGAGATACGGCGCGACATGTGAAAAACCCCTCCCCCTTTTTTTACAAAATACTCAATAACTCAAAAACAAAATTTTGAATCATCACCAAAAAGTATACAGATCTTAAGATTAATATAACTAAGAAGTGTGTAAAGTTTTAAGCAATAATCATAAACTGTTTTTGAGATACGGCAGGACATGTGAAAAACCCCTCCCCCTTTTTTAACAAAATACTCAATATCTCTAAAATAAAATTTGGAATCATCACCAAAAAGTATACAGATCTTAAGATTAATATAACTAAGAAGTGTGTAAAGTTTTAAGCAATAATCATAAATTGTTTTTGAGATACGGCGCGACAAGAGAAAAAAAACACACACCTGTTTTAGTTACTAAGTCCCGTAACTCAAAAAGTTTTAATCTTATTTTCACCAAAAAGTATACAGATCGTTTGACCATCATAAGAAACAACTATGTTAAGTTTCATGAAATTTTGATAAGTCATTCTCAAGTTACGGTGCGACATGTTTACGCCGGCCAGACAGACGGACACCGGACATTTGTATACCATAATACGTCCCGTAAAATTGACGGGCGGGCGTATAAAAACTAATTTATTTTAACTTGTAAATGTGTACAGTTTTTTAATGGTTATTATGAAATATTTTTGTCATGTCATTACTGAAAAATCTTGATTTGTATGCAAATATTAAAATGAAGTGTCATTTTTTCATATATAGCCATATGATTTTTTTTAGTGCAAAAATTCCTGTTTGTCTTTACAGTGAATTCCCTAAAAGTATAAATCATAAATATATTTCATAACTATTGCAAGAAACTGCAGACATTACTGTATTTAATGAAAACAAAAATCATTCTATTCTGACAAGAAATATCTTCAGTAGAATTTTTACTAAAAATGTGTTTTTATATGTATATGAAATGATAGGGGAAGTTCTGATAGGTGAAACACTTTTGACCTACGACTGTACCTTGAATGTGATGTTCTTACATACATGTTCACCACATGATCATCTCTTTTTATTAATAAGATTTACAAATCGGAAGAATGTGAGAAACATTGAAAATTTTCATCCACCGACAATTCACATGATTCAATAATAAGTTATTGATTGTGGTAGACAAAAAATAACCACTCCATCAAGGCATAGCAGGATATAAATTATTGGTTTATAGCTAATATTAGCTATAGGCGATTCTCTAATTCTTAATCATCAGTATCAGATTAAATACGGTCCAACTGTTGTCTGCTAGAAAAACAATAATGAGTTAATATAAAAGAGATTCAGTTTGGAAAAATCATGTATGTAAACTTGGAAGTTTTATCCTCTTACAGATTACAACAGCTTCCATTTATCAGATTTTTTTTTAATTCGCAGTTTGGATCTTAAAAGGGTCAGCTAAATTTTCGTTTTCATATTTCAGAGTTTTGAACATTGCATTTAAATGTCTTGTTGGGTAAATTCTTCAATAAAATGTCTTCTGTGAAAATAACAGAAATTGGGCACATGAGAAAATTTCAAGATATATGGTATATTGTATTCTATGAATATCAGACAAACAACAAATAGATAATATATAACTCATTTAAGATTACTATTGAATAATGGATGTATTGATTGATGGCAAATACTACAGGAATATCAGGAAGAGAAAATAATGAGAATATGAACCCTGCTTTGTACTATGCCAAAAAGCTGAGTGTAAATTTTTGACATACTAGTTAAAAAAAAGTAGCCGTATAAAACCAGTCTTACTCTTATCCCTAAATGCTGTGTTCTTAGCAAAGAAGCGAAACATCAAGTCTTATGTTTGACCCAGCTGGGAATAGAGCCCATGACCTCCCACATTTGAGGAAGCATACCACGATACCACCATGGCAGTCATTGGGAATAGAACAAGTGGTGAAAAATACACCTAACAATCAGATAGTAAACTTTCAATGGTATTTTTAAACATGTTTTACCAGCTGCTGATAGTACCGATCTGTAAAAGTGTACAATATTTTTTAATTTTCAGGTCATAACTATAATAAATTCACCTACCTGCTGCTGATGGTACCCATTTTGACCAGTAAGGTCTAGCAGGTTTTTTGGGAGCTGGGTGCCAAAAAGGTACTGGTGGTGCTTCACCTACAAAAACATTTACTACATTAAACATATAGTGGCTGAAATACTTCTAAAAGTTACAAACATTAATAATCATTTTAAATTTGTAGTTTATAATAAATTATATACATCTCTGTTTCCCATCTCCAAGAGTTGCTTTCCCTTTATATGGGTCTTTAGAATGAATATGAACTTTTTACTAAAAATGCAAGAATAAACAATAATTTATGGTCCAACATTAGCTCCCATGTAAATAGTTTAATGACAAATTAACTATGCATTGCTTATAATTATGGTAACAAATCATACAAGGAATGGAGGTAAAGGGAGATTACTCACCATAAATTTGTTTGACTAGAGCTTTTTGCTTCATGGCGATCACCTCTGGATCCCACAGATGGAGCTGTCTTCTGTTTGGTGTCAATGACCTCAGAAGTTTACGTCTAAAATACAAATTAGAAATATAATCTTACATATCTTAATCAGTTTTCCTAAACATATACAAGCAGCTGTGAATCATTTAAAAAAAGAATTTCAGACTTAGGAACTGTCATAGATCAGGGACAGACATGTAGGTTGTTTCCAGCATACCCTAAAACTTCCAATGCGTGTAATAAATCAAATAGAGGTACTGAAATCAGTCATGCATTGTGTATTATATGCACATGATGCAACTCCTTTATCCTATGATCTCACAAAAAAAAATTAGTCTCTTGAATAATTGGCATTAGCTCCAAATATACATCCGGTGGAAGTCATTCATGAAAACTATCCGTCAAAACAATTAATCTTGGACTAATAGAATCTGGAATGAAATATATCAAATCCACCGAATTACACAGAAGCATTAAAAATCATTACAGCAAATTAAACAACAAATTATCATACCTGTATGGCAACTTTTTTTTCTAATCAAACATATGTCATTATGAATAATTTAAAACCCGCTTAATATAACCAATTAATGACAGAGAAAACATTGTTCATTTTTCATGTCATTAGGTAAAAATCAATCTTATATAACTAATTGGTTCAAATTAAACTGATAAATCAATGTTCATTGTAAATGAATCTAACAAAAAAAGTACATTAAAGTAATTTTATGTTTCCTCATTTATAGTTATGAACTATTTGTCAGTAAGAAAAAATGATGAAAATGTTAAAACTTGCTATTTGATAAAAATCAGTATTGAGGAATATTTCTGATTGATCCAAATTACGGACACACCTGGTTGATAATTGTAAGGTTTCCTTTAACATCATCATAAATTCACATAATGAGGATGATTGATTGATTGATTGGTGTTTATCTCCACTTTCAGCACTATTGTGCTATTTCTTGGCGGTCAGTTCTTATTGGTGGAGGAAGCTGGAGTGCCCAAGAAAACCACTGACCTTCAGAAGGAAAATTGACAATCCTAGTCAATTAAGATTGGAGTTAAGCCCATCTGCCATGTGAAGGATTCGAACTCACAACCTCAGTGTTGACAGGCCAGTGATTCTGTAGTTTGACTACCTAAGACTACTCGGCCGCTGAGGCCCCCCTAATGAGGATGACAATAGTATTATGACCCACATGACAACCCAAATTTCCTTCATCAAAGTCTTCTGCTTTTGATTGAAAATTCATTGTCACTAGATAGGTTGTCACTTTGATAAAATTTATCACATTGCAGATGTCTGACAATTGTCATATTTCTAGTTGCTTCCTTTATTTCCTTAACTTCTAGTCATTGTTTGTTTGGTTGAATGAAACAATTACAGCCATCTTCAACGATGGAATTGCACCATAATTAAATCAACTTCTACAGACAACATTGTGTTGTGGGAGTCCTATAGTGATCTATGTTGACTTTTGATAAAAATAGAGAAAGCTTTAATATTGAGACTCAGGTGCAATGATCGTTCTCCCTAAGTAACTATAATGCAAGATTCATACGTTCAACGAATATCTGTCAGAATTTTACTGTTCTATCTCAACACTTCCAATTGCATTATAATGCAGCTTATTTATTTAGCTTGACACCAGAAATTCTGAGAAATATATTGTTATAGTGTTGTATCTCCAATATTTTTCAGATATTTTTGCTCTAGACAATTTGTCAACAAAATTAAGTTAGTAATACTATGCTGAAATGTTTAACCAGATTTGATCTAGATCTATGAGTAATTCTCTGACAGAAAATCTTTTCAAAATTGGGGAATACTACAGAATTCCAAAATCCATGGCCTATCTCCATTAGAAAAGTAAGAAATTAAAAAAAAAAGACTTGTTAAGCTGTTTCAACAGCTCTTTTATTATGAAATTAGGAGTTTTCCTTTAGACTCAGCATAAAAAAAGAAAGTCACAGTGGTTTTAGGTTCTCAACAACTTCGTTGATTTTTTAAAACTAGATACATACATGTATGTAAGATATTAATGAGGCATTTTAGAATGTTGCATATCTAAATGAAATTCTATAAAGACAAATATAATTCCTTGATGATTGTATGTGATCGAGTATAAATCTTAACCTTGAAACAGTTACTATAAAAAATGCTGCAGTGCCCAGAGTACAATATCTATACTTTACAAAGAAATGCAATGACCTTTGGTTTTTACCACCTACATGGACACAATATTACAGAAAGAAAACGAAAAAAGAAAGATCAGTGAATTATTGAATATATAAAATATTTCAAATGCAAAAATTATTCTAACCTGAATCTCAAGATTATCTCCCATGGCTAATGATGGAAACTATTAAGAAAACAAACTGTCTTCTGCCAACAAAAATAACACACAAAAGAAATTCAATATAATAGCTCGTAATACCCCATAGTTACTACAGGTGATTTTAACTTTCTATGGGATTATGACAAAAAAATTACGGGTTCCGAAACAATAAGATTATAAGGGCTTTAACATAATGAATGCTCTGATTTTTAAATATTGATTTTCACAATTGAAATTCTTATTTGATTATGGTCTTTAAAGAACAGTGTAATCCGATAATATACTTGGTGTAATTAATACATTTAAAAGCTTTTTAATCAATGAAAGAGAGAAAAAGGACACTCTTCAAAGGATGAACAATTGATTTTTAATGTGGATTATTTAGCAGCTACTTATGAATAAGGTTAAATTTGGGGACACATGAATGAAACAGCAACCCAACTGAACAGAAAAAACAAAATAAGTTGGACTGTGAGCTCTTGGTCACTAATGCTACCTCTGCTATAAGTATTTGGTAAATTGGATATTTAATGAGCAGTGGATGTGGCAATGCATCACATGGAATAGCATGCTAACATGAAGGTTGAAATAAATTTCAAGGTGCACTGATCCATAGTTAAGTGCCAGTCTTTGTAAGAAAAATTTCAAAACATGGCCAAAAAATACCAACTGACCTAACCATACTATTTTGAAGTTACCCTAATCCTGAGTGAGTTAGAAATGGTAGGTCTTTCGTTTCTGCGTGTCTGGTAAACCGAGAAAGTATTAGATAATTTTTGGTTATAATGATAGCGAATTACGGAGTCAGCTCCCTTTAAACCAAATTATATCTTGAACCATTATAAATTTTGAACATAAATTAATGTTAACTTGAGTGGGTTTTTGTTTGTCATGTTTTCAACTACTGCCTGATTCTTTTGTTGAAGGCCATACAGTTGCCTATAATTACTTACATCCACTTTATTTGAACTTTGGTGATTAGTTGTCTCATTGGCAATCATACCACATCTCCTTATTTTTATATACTACAAAACTTGTAATTATAAAAGCATACACCTGAAACACTTGTATGATTTATCTCCCTAATACAAGATACAATTCTGCAATGAATTTAGATAACAGCGATCCTGTTCATTTTGAATATTTAGTATAATGTGTAACTTCTGGATTATAAGATCTTCTCTATGTGTCTACCTCGGTACATCTGTTTCTAGGCAAGTGTCATGGGTGTCCATACATAATAATTATCTGTAATATTTCCTCCATGCTATCTGTATATTAAGGGCAGCTATTTGTTTCCCAGGGTAAGTGCCACTGAATGTCTCTACATTATAATTACCTGTAATATTTCCTCCATGCTAGCTGTATAGTTAGGGCAGCTATTTGTTTCTGGAATTCCTCAGCCCCAGTCTGTGTCTGTAGTTGATGTATGGACTGCTTGGCTACAGTCAGTATACCAAACTGTCTCATCTTGTATCTGAAAATATATAAAAGTAAACATTATTTAATTTGTATCATTATTATTGTTTAAGTTAGCATAGGTACGTGTCATCTGAAAATGCTTAAATCTGCAATGACCTTTTACCTGAAAAAAAAACAAGTGAAAAAGAATTTTAAAAACAGAAAACAATTAATTATACCAAAATGCACTTTTACAATTGTTGCAGAGAATTTGGATAAAAGTACAGGCTGACACAAAAGGCCAAGGATTTTGAAATAAGATAGTTCTAAATGCATATTCTCTTTCACATTAAAAAAAATCTTTTTACTGCCAACTTACATTTGTTAGCTTATGGGACCTTTGAATTATCATATGCAAATATTTTTTTGTACAATATCCTGTTTTAAAGTGTCAAATTATGATGCTGTAATATTTAGCAAAAAAAGTCACTGGCATGGTTAGTCATATTTTATAATGGTCCATTATAAAACATATGACTTATAAACCATATATAAATGGATTTTAATTTTACATGCATTAATAATTTTTAACTAAATCCTTAACTCTTAGGTTGATGTAGTCCCCTCAGACAAATTTAATTCACTAATGGGACTTTATATAAATGTTTATCTTTAACAAAAGTATTAACAAGATTTTGTTAAAGCATATTTATAGTATTATTTGTAATATTACATAAAAATAAACCAGGAATGATTAAATACTTTAAAACATGTGAGCCTATTTAAATAGGGCTGTTTCATTGTAGGGGGTATTTTATTTTATTTTATAAGTTTTGACAACAATTTATGTTTTTTTTTAGTATGGTTTGAGTTCTACTGCAGAAAAGAGTTTTTCAAAGGCAGGCAAAAGATGAGCAAATTGCTTAATATTGAAAACTGAACACTAGAATTTTCAAGCTTTGTTTCGATTTTGTTGTTTTCTTTTTAGGGGTAAAATACTTTATAACCATTAAAAATCTGAAATGAACAGAATCAATATACTGAGATATCAAATGCTGGAATATGTTATAATTATCCAAAAACATTTTTTTAGAACCCAAGGAAATATGATATCTGCCATTTTTTTGTTCTGACTGGACAAACTAAAAATTTGAAAGGGATTATTTCCCTTTGACTTTACAAAATACTTTTGTTTTCATTCAACTTTTTTAAATTAGGAGGAGATAATCACATTCAAACATTTCTCTGAAAAAATGAAAAAAAAAATGAACAAATGTATTTACCACTTAATAACCCACAAAGATAAATCAAAACGATTGGATGATTGTTGGTTGCTTAACATCCAGTGGCAAATATTTCATGCATGTTCAGAATGATAAATCAAAATGAGAAAACCAAGTGTCCATCAGTTGGTGACACTTAGTGACATAACTCAATAAAATAATCTAGTCACGAAGTTTGTAATACAGCTATACCACATGCACCAAGAATCTGCAGCACCCCATTTGAAGTGTGATTTAATATAAGAGAATCTTATTGACAAGGAAAATTGTGAGCTTTTGGGACAAGCAGAGGTGAACAAATATACCCCTGGTTCAAAATACCTTGCGATCCATTTAATTTGGAGTATATCTGTAATTTTATTGTTCACAATTTTTTTAATTGTAGAATATCTGTAATTTAATTGTTCTAAAATTTATGCTGTCATGGTCTCCTTTTCTCATGGAATAATACATATATTGCAGTATCATATATCATTCCCAGATTAAATCCCACTCAATCTCTTAAACATTTATGATCAGGTTCTTGAATTGATGTTCAAACAGACTATATGAATAAAGAGATGTGGCATGACTGCCTAAGAGACAACTTTCCATGATTATGGACCAGTGGATAAGGATAGTAAGTTATATAAGGCTGCATCATGACAAAATGAGAAACAATTCAAAGAGAAAACCAATAGCCTGATTTTTAGAAAACACAATAAATAAAAAAAAACAATTATGCATACAACAACCAACGTACTGCCACTGTATTACAGACAGGGATATAAAGAATGGAGTCTGGTTAAACATGTTTGAGAGACCTCAACCCTACCCTAACAAGGGACAGTAGTGTTAAATTGCAAAAAAACAACAGTTGAAAGGGGTCCTGTACTAAGCACAAAAACAAGGCATATTTTGCAATATCAACTAAGTACTCACTTGTCAGACATTTCCTCCCTAATTTTACAGTCCAAACAAACAACTGAGAACTTAAGAACACTACACCATCATAATTTATACTTTGTCTTGCAATCAAAATTGACTTTAAACCTAAGCTTCCTTCTATTCAAAAGAACATTCAATTAAAATTCTTTTCAAATCATAGACTTATAAATCACTTTGGATTATATTACAATGAAGGCTAATCACATTTAATTCAATTGTGTATTTTTAAAGTAAAAAGTGTCATCTTTCTTGATTTACATTTTATAACTTAAATTCTCCTTACCCTTGATACTGCAAGTGTTGATTTTATGCTCACAGAAACAAAACTTAAATATTCTGTGCGTGCTATTTAAAAATTTATAGCAAATATAAACATCCTTAATGCATCATGAAAACTTTCACAAATCTCCACCACTGAGAGACAATGAAGTTATCAATTTTTCATTAAAATATCTTGTGTTTGGGACAGTTAAAAACATGAAGTGTTTATACAATGTTCAGTAACTAATTATAGTCCATTAAAAATACAAAGGCACCAATTCATCTAATCCATTAGATCAAATCTACAATCACAATTGAAATATAAAAATATGTAAAAGCCTACAAGGTTTGCTACATTTGCTTAGATAATTGGTCCAAAGGCCCATAGAGACAATTTATCACAACTTAGTACCACCAGTCCTTGATAAAATCAAAGCTGGTCTTGAAATGAATTTTCTAAACTAGAATAAATATATATAGACACTTACTTAAAAGTTATGTTTCCCGGAGAGAGGTGTCAGTGTCAATTCACAGCCATGTTTTATAACATTAATTTGCTCCAAATTGTCAACTTATTTGTTAATGTTTGTACAATAATATATAAAACTTTCACTGAAAACTAACACGTTTATAAAATGAAGGATTTCGCTATGTAATATGCACCTGGGTTAAATCAAAATTTCAATAAGTATAAGATTTAAATTGTCAATTTCAACCCAGAACCTGAGATTAAAAAGATATTTATCTCTCAAGTACATTTTGTTCAAATAATAAATAATTCTTTATTATAATCCGTTATAATATTACTAATGAAAGGAAAACACTAGAAACTAGTGTTCAAGGTATTTGTTAAAATATGTGTTCGTAGATTTTGATTTAATCAGGCAAAAATACAATGTGGTTATTTCATCAAAGTTTAAAATGAAAAGAATGGCCCATTTAATATTAAAGAACAGGTTTCTTTATGGCTTAACCTTGCATTGCTGTCATAGCGACGAACTATTTGGTTTTGAATTTCGTAACTTTTTTTGGTCTAAACATCATGAACATTAATCTTTCTGCAAAAACATATGTAGACCACAAAGACATAGAGTTCAAGGTTAAACAATTCATTTCAAAAAGAGGCAAAAGATCCCAGAGGGAGAATCAAAACTCATAAATTGAATAGAGATAGACAAACTCATTTCAGAAAACTAATAAAATGCTCCGCAGGGCGCAGCTTGATACGACCGCAGAGGTCGAACCCTGAACAGTTGGGGCAAGTATGGACACAACATTCAAGCTGGATACAGCTCTGAATTTGGATTGTGATTAAATATTTGACACAGCATAGGTTTCTGACACAGAATGAATGTGGTCTAAGAACTTAAAAATTTTAAATTGGACATTCAACTATTATGGTCCAATATCCAAAATCTAAATACATGGTTAGATTCAGCATATCAAAGAACCCCAAGAATTCAATTTTTGATGAAATCAAACAAAGTTTAATTTTGGACCCTTTTGACCTCAATGTGGACAAAGTTGATAATGGGGCCCAAAAATCAAAAATCTAAATACATGGTTAGATTCAGCATATCAAAGAACCCCATATATTCAATTTTTGTTGAAATCAAACAAAGTTTAATTTTGGACCCCGATTTGGACCAACTTGAAAACTGGGCCCATAATCAAAAATCTAAATACATGTTTAGATTCAGCATATCAAAGAATCCTAAGAATTCAATTTTTGTTAAAATCAAACAAAGTTTAATTTTGGACCCTTTTGGACCTTAATGTAGACCAATTTGAAAACAGAACCAAAAATTAAGAATCTAAATACACGGTTAGATTCGGCATATCAAAGAACCCCAATAATTCAATTTTTGATGAAATCAAACAAAGTTTAATTTTGGACCCTTTGGACCTCAATGTGGACCAATTTAAAAACGGGGCCCAAAATCCAAAAACTTAATACACGATTAGAATCAGCATATTAAAGAACCCCAAGAATTCAAGAATAAAACCCCATTGAAATTGGTCAAGAAATAAGCAATTTATACGAAGTATCTTCTTTTGTACAATACTGTGCAATTGAATATTTCTTGCTATTGCGCAATACTGTACAATTGACAATTTCTTGCTATTGCGCAATATTGTGCTATTGGATATTTCTTGCTATTGCACAATACTGTGCAATTGAAGATTTCTTGCTATTGCGCAATACTGTGCAATTGAAGATTTCTTGCTATTGTGCAATACTGTGCGATTGAAAATTTCTTGCTATTGCACAATACTTATTTTATAATAATTTACACATCCTGTTTGGTGTGTATCTCCTACCATATCGTTATTATTTGCTTTTAAATATAAAACAGAAATAACCAACTTAAAATGGAAAATTTTAAAAGAAAAAAAAAAGGAAAAAACCCTCCCCCCCCCCAAATTTTTTGAACCCCCTTATGATTCATCACCCCCAAACTCAATCCCAGCTTTCCCTTTGTGGTATGGTACCTTGCAGTACAATTTCAGAGAGATCCATACACTTGAACACAAGTTATTGTCTGGAAACTAGAAAAATGCTTATTTTTGGCCCCTTTTTGGCCCCTTATTCCTAAACGTTTTG